AGTGCTGGCCTACTCTAGAGGGAAGGCACCTTACATTAGAATGTATGGCGTCACCCCGTCACCCCGTCACCCCCCCCTCCCCCCACACGCTCGCCCTACGTCATCTAGCGATCGATGCATGAACCGCGGGCGGCATCTTGCAGGGTTGAGTCACTGCTATTGACACGTGATTCAGCTATGACATGCCTGAGACCAATGAAACACACGTCTTAAGTCCCCATCTTGTGGCATCTGGAGCTACGCAACTTACCTTGGAAGCTCCATCCTGAGCCGCTGGGTTGCAGGTGCCTGTGCAGCTATAGGATCCTTAACTTCATAGTACGTCGGCTGATCCACTGCACGACCCACCAAATCCAAGATCTAGGATATCAAGCCCAGCAGGCACTATTCATGTCCAGAAGCAGGTACCTGAAAAAGCCCGTGCTGAGAACTCACTCGCACGGAACTGCGCTGCTAATGTTCTTGACTTGTATTTTATGAAGCCTAAAACAAACTCATAGCATGCCCATCCAAAGTGCCCTGGTATGGTACTGTGAAAAGGTATCGGAGCAGTCCAGACAGACTTCGCCAAGGTTTGGAAGCAACCGGAGTCCATGGCAAGAAGCACTCACGCCCTTAACTTTAGCTGGTGAGTGGCTGCGAGTGCTGTTCAGGCCAGTGCATAGGTGGCACAAGAAGGATGTTGCATGCTCACGCACACATCTCCGGCAAGCGTAACCCAACAGAAAAGCTAGCTGCAGAATAGTGCGACACGTAGGGCATGTAGGACGAAAGCCAAAGAAGACAATCTTGTAGGTCAAGACATGGGCATGTCACAGATTTTCCGCCCCCCTGGGCCATGGATTTGTCGCGCCCACTTGTTTCACATACAAGTCTTGTCCCCCTGTGGCTTCTGCAACTCGTAGATAAGAAGGGGTTCGCCTTAAAGTAGGGAAAGGCATTGTTGCATACTCTATCGCGCAACGACGACCGGGGCCTGTCACATACTACGTAATCAAGACGACAGCCTCAAGATTTCACCTTGTACCCTGAGATTTTGCCACACAACGGAGAGCTAGGGTGCGCCGCAACCATGTGTCCACAAACGCCGAGCCCTTTCTCGGACATAACAGCGGCATTGCAGAAACTCACTGCTTGCGGTCTTCATAGGCAGCGCCTGGGGCAGCTGCGCCAGCTGCGGCTTCGTAAACCTGGTCGCACGCGGCCAATCTGCTGGCTCACAAAAACCCACCTCGCGCCGTGTGCCCTATGGGTCATATGGGTGCGTGGTCCTTGGTTTGGCATGACGCCCTCAACTTGTTGTCTGCGCAGGGTCTCAGCGTCACGAGATGTCGGCAAACAGTGGATATTCCTGTGTATGCTGGTTTGCCTAAAGGCAGGCTTGGAGACTACGAACATCGAGACACATCAGGCACAAAGAGAACTTTGTATGATTTGACCTTGTGTTCTGCACCACAACGCTGCCTTGTTAAAGCATGAACGAGCTGCGATTCTGACACATGTGCACAGAACAGGTACAAGTAGGACGCTTTACATGGACGAGCCCTCAAAACCCGTCGACCCGGCGGCCATGTGGCTGCTATTGCAGATGCACCAGCTGAAGCGTCAGGCTTTGGCATCCTGGGCGACCTGCATTCTGAACACGTTGCCCTTGCTCTCCCTCCTAAACACGAATCCCTGCACACCAGAAACCGCCTCAAAAACGAGTCGGGTCAAATGAACAGCACAGCAACCGCTGGGCAGTTCCCTACCCGTTTCCTGCTCTTCCCGCCCTGGTCGTACAGAAGCTGCGCGACTCTATAGATGAAGACCAAGCTGTGCAGGAGGGTTGAAGCACGCAGGTAAGCCAGCTAAGCCAAAGGAGTCCGTCGTTTTGCTAACACTACAAAAGCAAGGGAGAAGGGCATAAGCAACCGGCTGGAAAATGCTGCGAGGACAGCTGAAGGGGGAGCCGGCAGCTGGCAACTGCCAGAGTCGCAAGAGTCGCACTTTCAGCGACCGTGGCGTGTTCTGTGCTCTGATTGCAAGTGCTCAAGAAGTGCTCAACAGGCTTTGCAGGCCTTATCTCTCACAGCAGATGCTGCCTGCTGCTTCTTGAGAGCATCAGGGAATGTCGCATACCCCGCTTCTCTTCGAGATGCTCGCGGAGGCAAGGTCTTCAGGGACAAGATGCCAAACACCAAACTCTACCAAGGCCTTGCAGTTCAAAAGACGCAGCATGGAAAGTTGAGGCGCGCCCTTTCGGAGGCTGAGGCACCTCAAGTGAAAGTGAGTAGTCATGCTGGCATTTTCTGGGCACATCCGCCTTTCGAAGCTGGCAAGCTTAGGGTTCCGTTGCAAACCAAATGGGTTTAGGGCTGAGGGTCTGCCATTCTGCGTCATGCTGCCAAGATCCAGAATCCTCTGGCATGCCAGTAGTGGGGATACCGCATCTCGAGAAGCAGGCACCTAGTAATGCCCAGGATGGCCATGGCCTTCTGCGCCGTTATCTAACCGGGGGCGGACTTTCCAAACGCCACAGGCCCATTGGTGCGCATCGCCACATGGCTGTGGACAAAGTCCAATGGGCAAGATGGCAAAGAGTGGGCTATCGCCGCCGAAAGAAGTGTGGAAGAGGTGCGGAACTTGTGGAAGACGTGCGCAACAGGATACACGACAATGCGTAGGAGCTAGTTTAAGGCGTTCGAGTGCCCTGGCTCATCCTGATGGTCTCACCGGCCACTTGAAAAATTGTTTTGGGTTTCAGGGTCCTTCCGGAACCTCTCTGGTCTGGACTCCAATCCCCGAATCCATTTGTTTGGAGGACTGTCAGGGTCAGGGATGCTAAGGCTCACAGCCACAGAAGGGGCCGAAGCTGTCTCAGGCTAAAGGGGCTGCAGCGGACGTTGACCCCCCTAGAAGGACACTTCCTCCAAATTCGTGTGCAACCTTGTGGTTGTTGTTTAGAAGGGTGCTGTATACTATGGGGTGCCCATAAAGGGTTCTTTACTTAGGAACCTGCCTATGAGGCTTGCTGGAGTCCATGGATGCCGTGGAGTGGCCTGGGCATCACGGTTTAGGGTTTCATTGCGACTGCGGAATCGGATGGAGGGCACAAGACATCACATCATATCACAGAACCTAGAAAAGATGGGCTCTGAAGGACACCTGGACACTGTGGACACTACCTGCACTTCACCGAATACAGCAGCCCGGGGACAGGCCCTACATGCAGACAGTGTAGTGAGTGTAGCAAGTCGAGTAGGTGGAGGTGGAGGAGCCCTCACAAGGGTATGATGCGCATGACTGAAAAGAAACTTGGCCTTCAGCCTGAGCACGATGTCCTCAGATCCTTGATCTTGGACCCACCAGCATCAAGGTTCCAAACGTGCACACGGTGAGGAGCAACCCTCTCCGGCCCGTTTCACAACCTACCATCTCCACGTGACCTCAAAGGAATCCCCCGCAAAACCCGATGGCGGAACTGACGGAGGCACCAGCCGTGGCAAGGGCGCAAGGGTGCGGAGAGGGATCCTTCCGCGGTGCTCAAGTCCTACCTGTGAAGGCCGTCACCCAAGTAGCTCTGGCAGCCAGGGGGTCATCAACGAAGAAGTCCGTCAAGGCACGGCTATACTGGACTGTTTACTGACCCTTGAAGTAACTGCTCTGCTCTGCTCAGTTCCTCAAAGGCTTGTGGAATGAAACGGGCAAGCACAAGGGCAACCCCTTGACAAGGTGCGGAGGAGAGCCAAATAGCGGTCAAATTCGGGAGGCTGAGTCTGATGGTAGCTCTCGCCTTTCCCCCGCACATGGAGATTGTGGGAGAGGCCACGGACTGTAAAGGATGTTTATGCAGGTCCTTCACTTTTTGCATGCCAAGCAAGGTAGCCTGGCCCAGAGCATCTCTAATTGCGGAGCTTCATCAGAACGCTGTCTGCAACAGCCGTTGGGAACAACCCTCCTTGCCTCACTCTAACTTGCCAGAGGTGTCTGGAACATGTTACAATGTTGGTCACACTTCCAGGCCATGATGGAATCGTTGAGTCATGCCTCGCGTTGTTTTTTTGGGCATTCTCGTGTGCGGCAAGATCTGAGACACTGCTTTCAGTGAAGAACAAACACGTGAGCACATACATCCCATCTCCACTTCCCGGGCACTACCTGGTGCTCTGGAAGGCTGCTAGAGCTCACAAACAATCTAACAAATGACAATACAGGATGAGACTTCATCTGACTCACCAAGGATGTCTCGGACGTTGGCTGAGGTCCCCTGTCTGTGAGGTACCATTTTGTGTGGAAATCACATTCCCAAGGTATGCGCAAGTATGCGAAAATACGGGCTCGCCATCGACTGCAGTCCTGTTCAAGAACGAGTTCCTCGAATTGGCCGGTCGTAGGCGATGATGTTGACACATGAGATAGATGCAAGTGCGCCGGTGGAGGAACCCGCACCTAGCGCCGAGTCCGTCGGACATGTGAAAGCGAAAGCTCTTACATGCGTGCGTCGCCCCTCTCCCTGCGCTCCCAGCCAGAACCTCGCCAAACCCCAACTGTGCCAACCGACCAGGACCCAGGAGCGACCTGAGCCGAGATATGTGCAGTGCACCGATATTTGCCGGCGCTGCTCATGGGTCTCTGGGCATGGATGGAACACTCACGTTACTCTTGTTGAAAACAGCTGTTCGCCCCTCATGGATCTATTTGAGGGCGTTCACCTCAAAAAGGAGAAGATCGCAAAAAGGAGAAGATCGCAGCTTAAAGGGAGAAGCCTTCGATACTCAGGCTTCTCGGATCATCAGAACCCGAGGCAGCAGCTGCAACTCAGCCTCCGCTTGGATGCCTTCAGGTTACCTGACAATGTCTCGAAAGGCTCAGGACCCCTAAGCAGAAGCTAGAGAAGCACGCTTCCCTGCAGGGAGTTCTCCTTAACCACCGTTTGGGTGTGGTCTGGACTAAGACCCTAAGCCCGTTTCTTCGGAATCTCAGCTTGCGCAGTGCGTCCCGAGGAATCCCCATGCCCCATGCCGAAGACACCTTTCATTGGGCGCTTGCTCATCGTCTGCGCAAAATTGCACGCGTGGGAGTCATGCACCATGGCTTCTGCTTCGCAGGTCCGAGTCGATTCATGACTTCTCTGCCAGATATGATCGTGCCCTCAAAGACGATGTCTTGATTGCCGACGTCTGCGGAAATGATGCCGAGCAGATGAAGTACTTTGAGTGCCTCTTGATTTGATACCTTAAGATGTGTTTTGGCATGCTCCGCCGAAAAGGAGGTCTTGCGCAGAATGGCACCGGTGCTTTTGCCATCCCAGGTCGGTGGTGGTGTATGAGGCTGGCAAGGGCAAGAAAGGCCCACTTCGCAGAAAGTGATGCCCGCCGCATCGTCCTTGCAAACCTTCGAGACTTGCTTGGGCACTGCGGCGACGTGGATGCATCTGTGAGGGCATCCGCGGACCATCTTGTCCGCATCTACGGGACTGGTGGTTGGCCTTGTGCGCGGCAAGCGATTGCTGAAGCCATGCTCGGGTGATGACGTGCTCATATCACCTTCGACATGTTGTATGTTGTGCGTGTGCTGGAGAAGCCTCAGCGTCAGAAGTGGGTGTTGGTCAGCAATCATGTCCACAGCAAGTGATCAGTGATCTTGAGCTCCTTTGGCGAGCTGATGACGATCCCAGTCGAAGCTATGCAGAGGCAGAGCAGCTGTGGGCTTTCAGAACGAACGCCAGCAAAGACACGTGGAAAGGCGTTTCTGCGGGGCGTGGGATTCCGGATGGACATCGGTTTTCTCCGCGCATGTCCAATGGTCCAGCAAGGACTTCCACATCCGCCCCAGAATGCCCCAGATCACACAAGCATGATGCCCAGCAAGTGACCCGCATAGTGTACTGTCACGAGTCTGCATGGACAGATTCCTCTCCGATGGAGTTCAACCGACTCCTGAAGGCCCAAGAGGCATCTGCAGGCCCCAATGGAGGTCGTGGCGCATGGATGGAATACAAGCTGCGCCGGCCCTCATTGGAGAGGAATCCATGCAGACTGCTGGCAGCATACGGTCTCATGCATATATGCTTACCAAGAACGGCGGCTGAAGCTGCTTAGCCCCTGGCTGTTCGCAACAGTTCCCAGTCCGGAAGGGCCACGCCCAGTGGGTTCTTGGTACTCATTCTGACCTTCCGCATTTGCATTGCTGCTACATGACGCTTCCTCGAAGGCTTAGGGGATCACTGCGAGTGGTGGCCTGGGGTTGCTGCTGGGCATTATGCCTATGTGATTTGGGGGCGGATGTCGGAGTCCTTGTGCAAAGGGCCATAAGAGATGCGGCACATACTGTAGCTGTGCTGCAGCAGCCGGCGTTGCTTGTATCCTGACCATGCTCGGGCAAGACCTCCACAAATGGTCGGTTAAACTCCATCGAAGAGGAATTGGCAGTACGTTACTCCTCCCGTGTGAGCTGGGGGCCTTGCTGAGACCCGGACCATAGGGCCATAGGACATGCGGCACATACTCCGGTGGCTTGTACCCTAGCTATGCTCGGGCGCAATTGAGATCCAGCCCTGACATTGGGGCCTGCGGATGCTGCTTGGGCTTCAGCACCTCGTACATAAGGTTTTTAGCCAGCTATAGTTATCGTTACCTTACAGCCCATAGGACACGTCCAAGTCGAAGTCCAAGACCCCAGCTCTAAGCCAAGAGCCCCTGACGCCCTCGACTCCCAGGCCCAAAGCCTGCAAGCTAAACCCGACACTTCGAACTTAGATGGTCGGTTGAACTCCACGCTTGCAACCACGATGCCTGTACCCGTCCATTTTAGACCTTAGGAAAGAATCATCTCTTAGTCGTACAAGCGTAACTACACTGGGACACCATTTTGACGTACAGGCCCCGGCTGGTCAAAAGAGCTTCGCACATTTGCTCAGCTTCACCCAGACCAGCATCACACATATCCACACTGTTTGGGGCTCACGGGCTCACCTGTCCCACCTTGGCAAAGGGTTAGTGCAACTCCCTTTCCTTCGCACCCCCCTGTCCCTTCGCGCCACTTCATCACGCTACCCCCTCCGGGCCTTTGCACAGCCCATTGGGGGGGCGGGGGGCAAGCAACCTATGATCTAAGTGCTGCATGACTCCCTTTGCAACAGGGCCTCCCACATCAGGACAAACCCCAACACCCTCAAACGGGATGTGAGCATGCAGGACGTGAGCATGCAGCAGCTGCTGTCTCAGACCGCAAGCGCTCCAGAGAGAGGTCGACTGAAGGCTGCGAGGACAGAATCAAGTGATGTCGCGGCTGGCGCCCCAGCAACTGCAGATCCGGCGCACGGAGCACAACCATTCGCCGACCACGGCCGCAAGAAACTTCCTCCTTAAGACAAGAAGCCTCTGCGAGTGAACGTGAATCAGTGGCAACTAGCTCACGTGAACTAGCTTAAAATTACCATGTGAGGTGCGATTTCTGTTGCGGGTACGTAGGGAGGCCCAAATAAGGAGGGGACTGGACTAAGGGAGCAAAGACAAACCCAGCCTAGGTCTGAGAACCCCATAGCCGCCATAGACGTATCGAGTGCATCGGAGCCTGCAGAGGCTGTAACTCAAGACCTGGAGGATCTCTAGCTTGGGCTGGGTTTGTAGTGTTGCATTGGGCAACAAACAGCACCGCACACAATAGCGCACATGGCTCCGGAACAACGGAGGTATCGGAGGTAACGGAGTTTGGGCCATGAGATGGAAATGTTGTGAGTCAGGTGCTGACCTCCCACATCCCCCCTCGGCTACACTGTGAGGACTGTGAGGCAGGGGCTGGCAAAACTAAGCTTGACTAAGCCTCTGCCCCTCTGTACTGCGCCTGGCTTTCTAACTTTGTGAAAACCGGCACTTCTGCCCTGCTAAGCTGCTAAGTTCGTGGAAAGGATGCTTGCTACCCGTCACAGATTCGCTTGTCTTTAGCACACTTCTCCTTGCCCATCTATGGAACGCAATGGAACGCTGTTTCCGTGAGACTTTGCTATGACTTCTCGGCTCCGTATGAGGGGCTGCAAAAAAAAACGATTCTTTGAGCTGACGCGTTCTGTCTTTTCAAGTCTTGCACCCGGTGCCTTTGCCTTTGCTGCATGAAGGTGATGAAGGTGTCGCCTCGCAAGTTTTACCGGAACACCTGCTCCCGTCGCTTTAGCGGGCTTTGGACTTTCGAATCCACCCGTTACATGCATCAAACAAAGACTTTTCGTGCTTGCTCATTTAACTCCACAGATACCGAGCTTTAACTCAATTGGCACATGCAAGAAGACGTGTGTCCTCTCAAGGCGGGCTGTAGCTGCAGGTTCCCCATATCCGAGCCGCCAAGTCACAAGACAGCAAAGGCTGCGGTCTCAAATGATGGTCCCAACATCGCCCTTGGCTCATGAGCTGCTTACTATGGCCCTGACAGCTTGCCGCCGCCTTCAGAACCCTCGCTGTCCTGAGTGCAGTTGGCGAGAGGAGCTTTCAAAGAAGGACCTCACTCCATCCCACACCCAAGGAGTCTTGTAGGGCATCAAGGGTTCCTAGGTTTTAATGAAGGATGACCAAAGGCTCATCTACTGGGGTCAAGATTGGTATCTGCCTTGAAGAGTGCAATCGGAAAAGGCATTGTGCCCGTGAATTATCAGAGCTCTGGTTCTGCTTGGCATCAAAAGAACGGCTTGAAACAGATGCTTCTACCTGTGTTAAGGCAACTCGCTGTTCCAGCGGCGTGTGATCAATGAACAAGGTCCACGTAAGAGTCCCACGGCCAAAATGGGCAGAACATTCGGTGTCAGCGCGTGATTCACGCGCTAATGACCCTCAAGCACTGGCAATATTGGGGGAATATCTGCGACAACATTCCCTTGTCGAAAGCCACCCCCTGGTTCGGTAGGTTTCGCAGACTTCTGCAGCTACCTTGCTGTGGCCAAGTCTTTGCTGTGGGGTGTTCTGAAGCCTCTTGCAGAGTCTCTGGAATGACATGTTCACCGGCCGAGGGAAATCCCAGCGACGTGGCCTTCCCGTCGCCGAACCAGCTTCTGAGTAGGCTGCCAGACGGGATTGCGAAGGCTTTGCAGACAAGGGCTCTCTTGGAGTACAAGTTCTTGGAGTACAAGTTGAGGGGAAAGGCCGGGAAGAGGCTGGGCAGAGGCCGGCAAGAGGCGGCCATGGCAAACATTCAGAAGTCTGCTGCGCCCGCGCAGCTCAAGCTACCAGGGCATCTGGAGCCCATCAGCCCGGCACGCGGTCGTTCTTGATGGGGGATGCTAAAGCCTAAGGCCTTAGCCTTTCTGAGCCTTAAAGGGTGAGCTTTCTAAACTATGGTCCCCTTGTTGGGTCAGTACCCCTCAATCATAGGGACCGCCTTATATGAAGGACCGCAAAAGGGATCAGAATTCAGAAAAAACACCGTATGGTCCTACGGTTTAAAACCAACAAGACAGCCCCATGCAGAAACGTGTGCAATGCTGAGGAGCAATCAGGACAGGATCTGCAGTTTGCCAAATACCTCTTTGTACTTGTGTGGCATGCCCACGAGCTCCGCGGGCTGGCTGCTTGTGCGAAGACCCGGAAAGTTGACCACCCGAGCCTTCTTCCCTTCCGGCCCCAAATACTTCTCCCCACAGGCAGCCAGAGGGCCTGCCCTCGCAAGGCAGACAGCCGCGCCCTCCCAAACCCAGCAAGACATTCCGAGAGATGCAAACCAGAAATCGCAACAACTGCAACGTTCCGGTCACATGTTCACACAGCAGGACGATTCAGTGGCTCGTGTTACCGCCTTCGGGAGAACCACGGTCGATTGCCCAGGCGGAGACGCGAATTTGCAAGAGCCTTGCACCGGTTCGACATGGCAGCACCTAATTACTTGTGGTCCCTAAAAAGCCGTCGTGTTCGAAAAGTCCCTGGATGAAAGCCCTCCGAAGCACTCAACAAATTCACAGCGGCTCTATGAGTTTGATGTTAGGTCCTGGAGCAAAGGGGTATTGATGCCAAAGGCTTCTCTCTTCAAAGCACTTCAAGATGACAAGCTTCCTTCTCCAACAGGGCAAGGCCCAATTGCATGTGCCTCGGGGTTAGCTTCCAGAACGTTGCATCCGGAAGTGGTGGGAGATGCTCCTTGACCGGTTGGGAGATGTTCCTGGCGTTGTCAACTGCAACAAGCCATCACTCTCCGCCGAACGAGCCACAGCACGGTTCAGGTGGCGAAGCGTTTTGGCTGCCGCATCCTTCCATGCGTCCCCCCTCTTTGCAGGCATTGGTGGTGGCGCTAGCCCTTACGAGGGGCCGATGACATGCACGTATCCGTATCCTGAGTAGCTATCACGTAGCCACGATTTTAGGATTGCGGCATCGGGCCCAAGAAAGCATGGTGCAGCAGACCATAGGCGGTGCAGCAACTCGAGGCAACACGGCAGTTGCTTTTTGGGTACCTGCCTGGGTCATTGCTGGTTGGGCATTGTTCTCATGATTTCAAACCCCAAAGCCCTAAATAACCCTAAATAACCCCGACCCTTGTAGCTCTGGGAG